TCGAACTTGGAAACTCTTTATCCAACACTTCTACTCGAAATGGAAGTAAGCTCAACAATTATGAGTTACTGATAGTCCTGAAAGCTACTCACATCCGAATTAAGTAATATCTTTATTCCTAAAATAGTCTTAGGCTATTTAGTTAAATAAATTCCTATTCGAGCATTGTTAATAGTCCTGAAAATATAGTTTTTCAGAGGCTATTACAATTGTCCGTCTACTGCCTTGTGCTGTGTGTACTTGCTACTTCAGCAGGCCGAGGCAGTGGGGACGTCTAAGCATCGCACTCTTGTACTTAACGAATCAGCTTTCAATGTTTTTTTACCCATTTTTCCTTCTGTACTAAACGGAAGGGGGTACGGATTTGTGCCGTCATGTTGTGCAAGATGGCAGAATGAGGTCTGGCGGGTGATTTGGCTTGCCGCGCACGGACCCGGTTTGGGTCACTGAAACCACCTTTCAGCAAACGGTTCATCCAATCTGCCCGTCCACGACGCCCCCAGAGGGCGCGGGTTCGAGTCCCGAAGTCGAGTGAATTGCTCCGTTTCGGCGTCGAGCTGTCTGGCAACTCTGGCCGATCCTGTGCCTCGAGGGAGGTCGACGACGCCAGTCAAGCAGGCCACATTCGGGCTGAAAAAAAGGCCGAACAACAAACTGCTCCTGCCACTCTCTTGTCAGCAATGACAGAAGGCACAGATTGAGGGCTCTAATTGCTTTTTATTATGAAGACTAATTTCAGACAAAAGAATACCGCGTCCTCGGCATCGCTCACTGTAACTGGTTGCCTGATTTCGTGATGAGGGCATAGATTCCAAGGGTAACTAGTACCAGTCCAAGCAACGATCCAATCACGATGCCTGCAATCAAACCAATCCGGTATATTTGTTCATCTCCTATCTGTGAAAGTGAAATAGGCCGGAATACTATGAATGCTGAGGGAAAAGAGGACCAAACATGATGCAAGCTCAAGGTGCATGATAATATACAAGCAAAAATCGATTCCTTGGTATATACCAGAGCGACTACATCCAGTTCGGATCACAGAGATCCCAACTTTGATCCCTCCAGAAGACGACAGCAGATTCCTCTTGTCCAGTAAGGTCATGATTCTAATTATGGTCAAAGTTTTTATTCTTCAGAATTCATACACACACACACACACACACACAATAATATATATATATATATATATATATATATTTATATATTTATATATTTATATATATATATGTAATATAGATGATAGGCAAAAAGGGTCATAAAGCATTGAGGTTACTGTCGGTTGTAATCCCTTAAGAACATTTTGTCAGTTGGGCGTGCAATATGAACCTGGTGAATCGGTCTGTACCTGACAAAAATGCATCCGTATAGACAAATGGGTAAATCTTTTTGCATCATTGGCTTTAATTGGGCATAGAAAGGGTATTCTACTCTGATACTGCCTGTCAATTGGTAGGACAGGTCGAAGTTGCAGCCTATTTGCACCGGAATCGAGGACGATTTCCCAGAGAAAAAGTGTCAGGCAAGAGGTTTAAGTGAAGCCAAACTGCGGCTGGCCAAGAGGAATCTGTTGTCGTCTTCAATAAATACCTTCAAACGAAACAGATTTTGCTATTCTTCGTATATTCTAGTAGCCTTAGAGAATATAAATCTGGGTTTCTGAATTGATGACCTCGAAATTGGTTCCGCTTCTTCTGGCCGATCTGGTGGCATGGCATACTCGAGCTTCATCGAATCGGTGATACCACTTCCGCTGCTTCAAACGGCAGATCGGCCTCAAGTGGCCTCGGCGACATCTCCTCGTCGGTCTTCTGAGCCAAGTTTGCCTATTCTACATTTAGACTTCAATGTCTTGAGTGAAGACGACACAGAAACTCAAAAGCCTGTATGTAGCCATGACAACTGAATTCAAACTTGGGCACAGTTCAGTCGGAAAGAGAATGTGGATGCACTTACCGGCGAGAACGAATCCAGTTCCCCACTGAAGATGTGCAGGTTGAGCGGGTTCAGGATGCTGTCCATCAGGTTGTCTTTGTGCAACAGGACACCGTAGACCTTCTTTTTGCCAATAAAAGCTCGGAGTTTCCTGAGGCCAACAAGAGTTGAGGCAGATGAAGGGGAAAAAAGATAATCATGAGGCTGAATGTCGGACGGAGAGTCCATGGCTCACTTTGAATGTTTGAAGAAGAACTGGGTCTCGAACAATTGCTAAGTGATCTATTGTGATATCATTCTCATACGACCCTCCGATGAACCTTCATACTTTACGAAATAGAATAAAATATACTAAACCAAGAGAAAATGTTTAGCATATTATTGCTCTGTTTTGTCAAGTATGAATCCTTGTTCCGATTATGTCTGCGATGGGGGCACAGAGGAAAGCTTAGCAAAGGTTCATCGGAGGGTCGTAGGACGACGAGCCGAAGACTTCTTGGCACAATACAACAGTCCGGTGAGACGGCATAACGAATTCCTTTAGACCAACTTTATCTTGAAATTGAAAGGCAAGTTACAGCCCATGTCTCGTCCGCGCTTTAAACGGGACTCGAACTCTGATCGTGACTGCCACGTAACAGCAAGTCGCCAATTCGCGTCATCGTCACGACTGCCATTGAGCGACTAATAAGGCAGTTGAAAGCCTCTCACAATTCACACCTTTTGTGTCTGTGTTGATCCGGCAAACTTGTATTTGTCACTGGAATCTATAATACTACTTAATGCATAGTAAGTATGTCATTGAGACATTTGTGTAAGGCAAATACAGGTTTGCTTAGTCGAGAATCCCACTCAAAGCGCAGACCAGTAGAGGCTTAGTTTGCTTCGTAGCCCATGCGACCCAGCGGTAACTCCACATGTGGACATGTGGTGGAATGAAGACATACATGACCCGTGTTCGAATCCCGTTCAACCGATACGAGGTTGCAAATGGCCATTTGCAAGGCGAGTCACTGAAATTCTGGTGAGGTGGAAACGGCAGTTGATACCTGCCCATGAGATTGTGGGAAAAGTTGACTGTCAGCTCTTCATCTTCTAATGCGACTTCGAACGAATACAGCTCTTAGTAACGGATCTACTGGTAGTTGTGAAACCCATATTTAGATAAAGTAGGCTTTTAAGACTACCAATCGAGTTTAGATAAGAGTTCTAGGGAAGGAGGATTGATGTCTGCTCTTTTCCAAAAGCGGCTCGAGTCCAGGTTGGACTGGGTTGAACCCACGAGCTCGCCTGCCACCAGCGCCATTGAGTTCCGTGACGTATCTAAATTTAAAGCGGTGCCAGACCTCTCTCATAACCCTTTTTTGTTGTTGCACAAGTGTCGAAGAAAATGACTGAGGAGAAGGACTTAAGGAAAAAGGACAAGAACCTACAGCTAGCCGAAATGAAGTCCTTCCTTTTTGCTGCTTTCAGAATGCTACAGCCCTTTAAAGGTGGTTGAGAGGGACAAAGAGCTAAAAGTACAGCAGATCGTTTCACATGTCCTTCGACAGACTGCCGGGCACAGAGCCTCGTCTGGGGAGAACAAGGCAGAAGGTAGAGAGGAAATTTGGTTGATAAAACTTTGCTGTACAGCCCCCAAGGTTTTTCGTCTTGCCAAAATTGGGCACCCAAAAGGAGCATCGTCAGGCCCGAGCCCGATGATGTCTTCAAGAAGGGGTCAAAACAAAAATAATGCAAACACAAAATAAGAAATATGAGATGTATTCACCCAATTTGGTTTAAGGTGATGAAGGAGTGGTAGAAGAATTTTTCAACAGTGCTATGAGTAGAGCTGACGTTTCAATTGAATTTCACATTGCCTTGCTTTCCCAGTCATTCATCACCTTAAACAAAATTGGGTGAATACATCTCATACTACTGATATACTGGTAGTCACGAAAACAATACTTTATTCGAAAAACGAAATAAGAAGTAGGGCTCTGCCTTTTACAAGAGTCTGACTTACTCATGTGTACCTTCTGAGACCTTTTGAGCAAGAATTGAAACAATCGTGACCGCCTCCCTAAATTGAATGTAAAAAAGAATGATAAGTAAAAGTGGTTGGTCAAATAAGTCATCACCACGAAAAGAAGTTGAGCCGATTATCATTTTAAAAGGTGGCAGAAAAATAGTAAGAATGACCGGCGAAGGTACAAACAAGCTCTTACTGATTGTAGAACGAGACTTAAATTTGTCATATCGGAACGATGTGGTGGAAAGAATGAAGCATGCGGATGATGAAGAGGTTGAACTCGACGAAGAGCAGGAAACAGTTGAAAAAGAAAAGAGGATTAGAAAAATAAAAAGAAGTAGGAATGGGTGGAGAAGGATGATGAGGAGGAGAATGAAAACAAGGAGGATGAAGAAGATGCGGACGCGGTTGAGATGTAAGAGTTGGAGCTGGAAAATGCAAGTGGAATTGGGAAGAAAGGGAAGAGAATGATGAGAAAAATGAAGAATATTAAGAAGAGTAAGAAATAGAAAAAACATCAAAAGTGAATGGTGAATAGGAAGAGGCAAGAATGATGATGGGGAGGAGATGAATGGGCTAAAAACGGATTTGGAAAATGAGAATGAGCAGGATTTGGAGGAAGTTGAAGAAGGTAGTTTGTTGTCGATGGTGGAAAGAGGTAGGATGAGTAGTATGCTTTTATTGAGGAGGAGATAAAGGGATGGTTGAAGATTAAGTAAGATGAACAAGAGGAGAAGGATACTGCAAAAAGTGCAAATGACGGAGAAATTGGAGATGGGGTTGGGATGATTGAAATGACGAGATCTTCGAGTTTACTTCCATTTCTAGTGCAGGTGTTTGGTGAAGAGATTCGAAGGTGGATCGCACCAGAAAACGACGTCCGATTCCCGTTGGTCAGCTGTCGCTTGGCTGTACTGGAACGTCCTTATCGACGCTGTTTCCTTCGATTTTGGTGAAAACGTGTTCACGAAGCTTTCGTCTGTCATCACCAAAGCAGACTATTATTCGAGATTGGCATCATCAAATCAGCATGTTTACGGAGTGTACATACAAACGGCGAGCTTTCTTGACTCGTCAGTTTGAATTTGATTGCAAGAATAGTAGGAAGCCGGCTCTGATGACATCCGTCATGTGAGGGACATAAGATGAGGACGATTTCACCAAAAGCGAAAGCGATTGCCTTGGTAACAGCGTCAGTAGAACGTCGCAGTAATGCCAGTCAAGAGGAGGCAACCATCCTCTTCTGGCGGATTCAGCTTTCGAACCCTTCCACAAAGCACTTTTACTCGCATTGCAAGTGAACTCAAAACCGGTGAGCCGAGCGAATTCCCGAAAGCTAACGATGAAGAGTTAAAGTTGGGGAATGAGAATAAGGACGAGGAAGAAGATCGAGCTGAATGTGAGCAGGGATGGGAAAAAAACGCTAAATGCAAAGTGAGTGTAGAAATAAGAAAGGAGACGATGAAATGTTTCAACGGATGTTGAGGTGAATGGATACGTGGATGAACGGCGACTTGTATCAGAAGGTGGAAGAGGAAAGGAGGAAGGAGTATGTGAATGAGGATGAGGAGCAGAGTAGAGGTGAACTGGCCTGAGCAACATGCTGGAAAAGAGGATGTAAAGAGACCGGGAAAACGAGGAGGATGCAGATGAGAATAAACATGTGATGGCCAAAATGACGACCATGAGCTCGGAAGTCTAGTCGAGGTTGATGATACGGTTCTCGAGTAGATTGGGCAGGATTTTTGGCAGAAGAAAGATGAGCATGTTGGCCATGGTTTCTATCATGAACGAAGAAGAGCACAATTTGCATATAACGATGCGGCCGAGGAGCATAATGAAGAAGACTACCAGGTTGTGGAGAATTAGAAGATAGAGCTCGTGTCAAACCTAAATGTCCTCAATAAAAGTGGGTTCACCTCGCTGCCGCAACTTGGTCTTGTTGTCAGGGCGACTATGTAGAACGCATCTAGTCCGAAGTCGTCGTGATTCGCAGCATCACACAGTGGACTTGGTACATTTTTAAACGTTTCGCCGGCAGAAAGTTTGTCTGATGCTGAGAAACATGACAACTAACATGGCAGACGACTTCGGACTTGATGCGTTCTACTAAGTCACCCTGACAACAAGACGAGGTCAACCCACTTCTTTAATAAACTTCACATCTCCATAGAGCGTAAATAATGTTCACACTTTCCCTCGAATATCAACGTTTACTAGATCGAATTAAGGGGAACTATAGTTTGCATTGGGAATATGTGATTATTCAGCACATTGAGATCTAATAAGGCCAGTTTATCATCAATTTCCCCTTGACTTTAACTCTTCGGGATCCAGTTTATTCAGGGCTTTCGTCTGCCTACCCATTGCCTCTGCTACTCAGCGCAAGGGATAATTGAAAAAGGCTCCATAAATTGTAAAATAATGCACAAGGCAAATCGAGGCAATGGGATGTTGGTGGCATGAGTGTTTGCTAAAAAATTCGATTGTATAAATAATTATTTTGTCTCTCCATTGAGTGTGAAGAGTAAATAAACAGACACCAAGTATTCAAGTGTAGGCCTCTTCAGTAGAACTTCTATTTGAAGTACTTGTCTTTGAGTGTATGAAATGAGTAATTTAAACATTCTTAAAAAATCTTCTTGTATATAAATGCATTTGCCTGCATTACTGGTACCCTTCCGGGAGAAACGCTTTTGTACTGACGTCAATAGCTTTCATTATTCACTTTACTCAAGAGCTCAACTAAATTCACTTGAGAATTGTGTGCTTGCTGAATGGGCTCTGGACTGTAAATAGGCTCAAGAGAGGCCCATAGATGCTCTGGTATTGGCCATTATTTCGTATCTTAAAATAGTTAATTCATCAACTGTCTCTAAGCCGATCAAAGTTTGAGTTTCCTTCAAAAACGCGACATGCTAAGCATGTAATGGTCGAATTAACGTTATTGTAGAAGGAAAATGAGGCACAAATGCAAGATACTTTAGTATTTTATTTCACGAGTCGTAGAATTGAGTGAAAATATAAATCCTGCCGTAGGATTTGGGCGCTTTAAGGGCTTTTTGAAATCGTCACCAACTCTCCGTCTTGATAGGTTGCTATAGGCACTGCTACACCCTGTCCGCTATGCTCCGGCTATGATCTTAAACCAAAATACCACTTAGAAACTTCCCCATTATTTGTAGCATAGATTAGTCTAAATAAATAAATTTGTGTAAAATATTATAAAATTTGTGCAAATCCAACTAAGCGAAGCGATGCAACTGAAGTAATTAAGGTCATGCAGTGTAAGCAGAAGCAACAGACAGAGCATCTGTATTTGACGAATTAGAGGCAGGCTATCAAAAATACGCTTCCGGATCTTGATTTTAAGAAAAGGTCGAAAATAATAATTTATTAAATATAAATTATGAGGTTAAATATTGCTACAATTTACCCCTTCGGAGTGGCTTTTATCATCGTTTTTAAGCCAACCTTGAGACGAAATAC